ATATATATCAGAAACATTCTGAACAGAGACTCCCAGGACACCACAATATTCCCCATTGCAGTTACCATACTTTACCTCAGAGCCTTTTTTTAGTTTTACATAATAACATTGTCCTAAAAAGTCACATAATGTAATGCAAAGGGCACTGGGCTGGGAATCAGTAGACACAAGTTCAAATCCAAGTTCCAGTAGGAATCTAGTATGTGATTTAATGTTAATATAAATGTTAACATAATCAATGTAAGTGAAGAATCTTCACTTTGGGTTACCTTACTGTGATCAATGTTTGAAGTAATAGGACATTTTAGAAAAGTCTCATGAAAATGATTCAGATTAAAAAGACATATTTAAACTGAACTCTTATTACCAATGAAAAAGTATCAGGTAATTTAAGAGTTTTAAATAGAGTACATATATATATACTTTCCTCTTAAATTAAAATCTACTAGACTCTCAGCTTCATGAAGGCAGGGACAACAAATAAAAGCCTTGTTGACCAATGTCTACTCTGAGCCTTGCATCTGTATATATAAAAGCCTAAGCGACTGGCTGACTGCTTGACCGGTAGCTATGACAGACACTGACCACCAGGGGACAGATGCTCAACACACAGGCATGGAAACATGGAACAGACTGATGAGTCTCAGGGGGAAAGGGGAAGGAGGGAGGGCAGGAAGAGATTAACCAAAGATTTTATTAGAGGCCAGGTGCACGTATTTGTGCACTGGTGGTGGGGTCCCTCAGCCTGGCCTGCGGGGATCGGGCCGAAACCGGCAGTCCGACATCCCCCGAGGGGTCCCAGATTGTGAGAGGGCACAGGCCAGGCCGAGGGACCCCACCGGTGCACAAATCTGTGCACCAGGCCTCTAGTATATTAATAAATATCAATCAGTATCTCAGAGGGGCTGGATGGATGAATGGATGAATGAATGAATGAATGAATGCCTATAAACCCGAGTTAAGTTAACTGAATTGTAAGGCCCCAGCACATCAGAATCAATAAATGAGAAGACATCAGGACAGTTTATAGGGATGGCCATGAACAAGACACTGACAGTCCAGCAATAAGGGAGGATATAGGAAGTATCTAGGAGCCCAGCTGGAGGGGCCCAGTGGTTGAGCGTAGATCTGTGAACCAGGAGGTCACATGCCGAGTTGTGGGCTCAATCCCCAGCAAGGGGTGTGCGAGAGGAAGCTGATCAATGATTCTCTTTCATTATTGATGTTTCTATCTCTCTCTCTCCCTTTACCTTCCTCTCTGAAATCAATAAGAATATATACTTTTTAAAAAGTATCTAAGAAACAAACCATAGAAACTCAGTAAAATGGTTTGCAAATAATCTATAAACCTCAGTATTATCTAAACAGAAATATGTATAATGCATATTACATTCACAGAACTGATCAGAACTTATATTGTATAAAAAAAATGTATAATCTAAAAAAAACCCCACAAATGATCTGAACACACACTCCAATTTATGCATCCACAGTAGCTAATAATTTTCTCAGGTAAGTACAAGTATAAATCATATTATAATTAAGTGCTTTTCTTCCAAGTACAATGCTCAAGATGGAACTATATAAGGTTCCTCTCTCAGAAGATTTTGAATCTATTAAATAAATTTTCCAAACCAGAAAAGCTCCTAACTTCCTGTACATACACCGAGTGGCCAGATGATTATGACCACCCCATCAGTACAATGAAGTGAATTAGTTATGCAAATAATAATAATAAAACCTTGAGAGTATTTGTTTGCTTAGGAAGTTCAATATTCAGTATATTTTTGGAGGTGTCAATGAAGTACTGATGGGGTGGTCAAATAATCTGGCCACTCAGTGTGTAAAATGTTCCTTTCTATATTTTACCCACATAATATGTTCTACCTAAAGTATGAGTTCTTTTTCTCCAGGAATTTCTTCCTCTTATTCCTACTTTAAAACAGGAAAGTGAAGGTCACCTTCACAGCTTAAGAAGTGTGTTAGCTTTCAATGTCCTCGGTAGTAAATTAAAGGTGTTACAACAACATCACCAGCGTGTGAAAAGTAGAGAAGGGAAGGCCCCAGCACCATCTTTCCGTGATCTCGTTTTGAGTACTAGGAATATTTTAAGGAGATGCTGAAGCTATGGGTGCAATCGTCATGGCCACCTAGCTCTTCTTGCCCAAAATCGAAAGTACTAAACTTCAAAGCTGGAGCTTCACAAATGCTAACGGTCCACAGTAAAATCTAAAAAAACAAAACAAAAAACCCACAAATGTTCTGAACACACATTCCAATTTATGCATCCACAGTAGCTAATAATTTTCTCAGGTAAGTACAAGTATAAATCATATTATAATTAAGTGCTTTTCTTCCAAGTACAATGCTCAAGATGGAACTATATAAGGTTCCTCTCTCAGAAGATTTTGAATCTATTAAATAAATTTTCCAAACCAGAAAAGCTCCTAACTTCCTGTACATACACCGAGTGGCCAGATGATTATGACCACCCCATCAGTACAATGAAGTGAATTCGTTATGCAAATAATAATAATAATAAAACCTTGAGAGTATTTGCTTAGGAAGTTTTCAATATTCAGTATTTTGGGAAGTGTCAATGAAGTACTAGATGGGGTGGTCATAATAATCTGGCCACTCAGTGTATAAAATGTTCCTTTCTATTACCTAAAGTATGAGTTCTTTTTCTCCAGGAATTTCTTCCTCTTATTCCTACTTTAAAACAGGAAAGTGAAGGTCACCTTCACAGCTTAAGAAGTGTGTTAGCTTTCAATGTCCTCGGTAGTAAATTAAAGGTGTTACAACAACATCACCAGCGTGTGAAAGTAGAGAAGGGAAGGCCCCAGCACCATCTTTCCGTGATCTCGTTTTGAGTACTAGGAATATTTTAAGGAGATGCTGAAGCTATGGGTGCAATCGTCATGGCCACCTAGCTCTTCTTGCCCAAAATCGAAAGTACTAAACCTCAAAGCTGGAGCTTCACAAATGCTAACGGTCCACTCCACCTTCCCTGGCTTTGTCCCGCTCTCCCGTGCCCACTTTTACAAATAAGCTGTTAGGTGCCCCAGCCCATCAGCCTATAACGGAGCTCAGATCTCCTTTCCTTTTCTCTTTTCCTATTTAAGCGGTATGTTACGGCAACGGGGAGAAAGAAGCTGTGCTAGCCTATCCGGATTCCAGTTATCTTTGCCGACAGCAGAGTAACTCTGAAGTCACTATGCTAATCTCAAAGATGATTACTAGCCATAGGTGGTTTGACTCAATGGATAGAGCATCCCGGGTTCAATTCTGGTCAAGGGCACATGCCTGGATTGCAGACTCAATCCCCAGTAAGGGGTGAGCCAGAAGCAGCCAATCAACGATTCTATCTCATCATTGATGTTTCTATCTCTCTCTCCCTTTCTCTCTAAAATT